TTGCCCTTTTGGAGAGAAATTGATATAATTTGACACCTTTATAGCTCTTATAATCTTTTACTTACATGTTTGTCCAAACATAAAAATATTGGCATCAGTTGAATTGGAAGATATCATAGTTCCATTCCTACTAGTAAAGTCATTAGTGTTGTCTTGGTCAAAGTTTCCTAGGAGTCCTGTTGTATTTCCCATGTATGACTGTGGCACATTTAATGTAACTGAGAGGATTGCTAATCTCAGTGTGACATTGACTCCTACACCACTTGATAAGGCAATGGAGATCAGCTCAGTTGTTTCTCTTGTTACAGTTACTGTGGTGAATTCCAACGTATCATTAACTGATGTGAGATTAGCAGACACGTCACTACCGTTGTATAAAACAACAAATTCACTGGCATCCATTTCATTTATTCTAACCTAGAAACAGAGTTCAGTACAAGTTAAAAATTAGCTTCAAGTTTTCATTGGAAAAAATTTCTATTAAACATTCTGAGCATGTTATCTCACAAAACTTTGACTCTACTTTTGCTTCAAATGGGTAATATGCAAATTGATGATAAAAAGATGAAATTTTGCATGACAAATTTCTTAAATGATGAAAATTATGGTGTATAAATAAATCTCTCTCTTCAAATCTAACCTCAACTATGGAGCTCCTGTTACTATCACTAACTGCTATTGCACTAAAAACCGTAGCTGTAGTGTTTGGTGCAGCTAACTTTGTACGAGCCTGTACTTCAAAATCCTCACTATTGGTGCGCAATAGCACATATTCTCCAAGTCCATTGAAAGTATATGATCCTTCATCAAGTGTTGTAATATGAGGATCACCCCAGAACCAAGCTATGAGAGACAGAGAAAGAATCATAGATATTTTATGCTATCAATATGCATATTCTTATTATATTAAAATAGCAATTGTTAGTATAGTTACAAATTTACTGTAACAGTTTAAAGTTCACTCACTTCGTCTAGGAGGCCTGTAGCCAGTGCATGTCTTAATGGGTCGACGTTCTCTAAAGAGTTCACAGTTTTGAGACACTATACAACACCGTGAATGAAAGCTTTCATCAAAAGTTAAATAATTGGAACGAGAAAATCTTGGGTGAAATCTGAAGACATGAGAGGAGAAAGGTCCTTGGGTGATTAAAGCACGGAATGAGTTTCTAAAAAAACTAGAAGGGATAAGAAGTATTATGCATGCAATATGTAATGTACAGTATATTATAATTCTCTGACTTATTTTGAGCAATTTCAGCATACATAATACCACACTCATTAATGACACATGGCTGCTGAATCAAATAACCAAAAGGAAAACCAAGGGCTATAGTCTTTGCTTTTTTAAAAAATTGGCTAGTTTTTTTAAAATGCTCATAATTCAAAAAATACCATATTTGTCAGAAATGGCTCAAACTTTTTACATAGCATAAGGGCATCAGTGGGTATCAGAAACTGTAATAAAAATTTGGGGTGATTTTAGAACCATTTTTCAAAAAACTATTGGCTATATTATAACACAGGGTGTTTTTTCGAAAATTGGTATAATTTTTAGGTGACCAATTTTGAAAAAAAAGCCAAGCAATGGTTCATATTATGGACTTGTAACTTCAAATACTCACATCATACATATAGCTCACATCAATACACAATTATATTTTGTATACGCACTAATACCTGAATATTTGCAACTGCAGCATGCAGTGTACTGCAATCTACTATACCATGCACTTACTTAAAGTCGTAGCAGCACATGCTTTGATATATAAATGGAAACCTATTTGTATAACATAAAACTCTTTCAGTTTGGTGAAATTGAAGAAAGCGGAATCTCCTGTCAAACCATGCTTGATTTATTGAACAGGGACAGGGACGTGCAAAAAAAAATGCTTCAAATGTTCCAATTTCTCGAAGATCTTGGTCATTTCTGTATGCCTCCAAGCAAGCAGCTTCAGCAGGATCTATAGGAAGGGAAAATTAAAGAAATAAAAATTAACACTTCCATGACAATACTTGACAAAAAATGTACACAATGTGAAGCAACTCTTTAATGCATTAGTTGCTGGAGTGACACTAAATTGATATCAGTATTACTTGTGTGACATACTATTATCAGAAGAGAATGAGTAGAGTATGTTAGTAAAATTTGTATTATCTCCACAGCCGAATCTCAATAGTCCTCCTGGTGTCCCTGATCCAAGACGATTCTCAAAAGGAAATCCTCTAATATTATATCCAACAACAGATGTCCTATAATAAGTGTCCCACATAATGTCCCCACACTTGTATATGTATATGACATGGGTCTCTGTTCCATCAGTTGTAAGTACAGCTTGAAATGTGTTATGCTAGAGAAAATATAATAATAATAACAATTTTATTAATTATTATTATTATTATTATTACTAAGTCAAAGAATGGGTCCGAAAAAACTCCTTGTGGGTAAGGACGTGCTGCACTCCATTCAATGAGGAGCATCCATATTCCCTGGTAGTTTGTTGAGTTCCTCCTGGTTCTGATGTAGTTATTGACAACATTAAACACTCCACTGGCAAGTGGATTGTTTGAATTAAAGGCTTGATATGAGACAGTACCTAAAGCACAATAAAATTGAAAATATATTCCTTTGGGCTATAATTTATTTTCTCAAGACAGAGGTGTATTCATTTCAGAGGGACTTTAGTATAGGTTTGTAATACCCAACACTATTGTTATAAATGGGTGTCCTTTTTATATAAATGGTCACAGTGGACATTCCATTGTAAGACCAATTAAATTTACACACGTGTATGACATTATGTTACCTTCTCTGACATATTGATAATTGTTCCACATTGGAGCAAACACAACTGAATTTCTTATCCCACTTGTAAAACTAGGAAACAATCTAGGATAATAGTAACCGAACCAACTGCCAAGAGAAAATGTACCAGCAAAAGAAATCTGAAAATAAAAAACAGCAATGAAAAACAACAAAACAATAGTAAGACACAATTAACAATGAATGTAATTATAAAAATACTTACAAAGATTGATGAGTAGGTAGAGCCTAGTATAGGAATTGGTCTTGGAGGAGTTAATCTTAATACAAAGAAAGTGCTGTTTGACCTACTGATAACATTTGATATGCTGGTATTGAATACTAGATAAGGAAGGACAGCTATAGGAGGAGCTGTTGTAGGACTGGGGCTTGTTGTTGGAGTAGCTGTTGGATTTTCAATTAATGATGAAGACATTTCTGGAACATCTACAGATGATGATTCTGGAAAAATATCTACTGATGACGGTGATGGAAGGATTTCTACTGACTCTGTTGGTTCAACTGTAGGAGGAGCCATTGTTGTAGTGCTTACTGGAGTAGTTGCAATCATTGATGAAGATGTAAAATCTAATACTTCTGATGATGAAAGTATTGTTTCTGTCGAAATTATTGATGAAGATATTTCAATAGATGTTTCTGGAAAAATATCTACTGATGATGATAAAAGCACTTCTACTGACTCTGTTGCTACCACTGATAAAGTAGCTTCTACAAGTGTAGTAGAAAAATCTACTGCTACTAATGAAGAAGTTTCTGTTGCTTCTAGTGAAGAAGTTTCTGTTGCTTCTACAGGAACAGATGAAGATAACGATGGAAGCATGTCTTCTGATACTGTTGCCTCCATTGATGAAGACATTACTGTGAAATCTATTAATGATGAAGATATGACCACTTCTGTAGATGAAAATATTATTGCATCAGTAGATGAAGATATTTCTGTGATATCAACAGTTAAAGATGAAGAGGTGACTGCCTCAGTAGATGAAGATATTTCTAAAACATCTGTCGATGAAGGAAGCACGTCTTGTGATTCTGTCACTTCCACAGATGAAGACATTTCTGGTATCTCTACTGGTGTACTAGATGCTACTACTATTAAGGAAGAAGTTTCTGTTGCTTCCACTGACAATGACATTCCGAATGAAAATGATTCAGGAGCATCTACTGGTGTACTAGATACTATTACTATTGGTGAAGATGTTTCTGCTAATTCCACAGATGAAGATATTTCTGTAACATCTACTGGTGTACTAGATGCTACAACAAATGAAGATGTTTCTGTTACTTCCACCAATGAAGATGTTTCAGGAAGATCTACTGGTGTACTGGATACTAGATCTATTACCATTGGTGAAGATGTTTCCGTTACTTCCACAAATGATGACATTTCTGTTGCTTCCATAGATGAAGATGTTTCGGTAACATCTACAGGTGTACTAGATGATACCAATGGTGAAGATGTCACTACTACTTCCACAGATGAAGAAGTTTCTGTGGCACTTACTAGTGTACTAGGTCTTCCTACTTGTGAAGGCGTTGATTCTGATGTCAACGTACTTGTAAATACGGACGTTGATGATGTTGTTGCTAGTGTAGTTACTGAAGGTACTAGAAATGAAGATGTTCCTGTTTCTGATGGTACTTCTGAATCCATAACATCATCATCACCACTACCACTGCCACTACCACTTAACATGCCACTGCCACTTAACATGCTACTGTTACTGCCTGAATCATCATTATTATGACTGATAATAGCCGACACTATTGCTATGGTATAAAGTAGAGCTACACATTTAAGCCAATCCATCTGTAAACAAAGCAAAGAGAAGGTTAGCCACGAGAGTGAGTTACATTTATATGCATACGCATGACATCAAAATCATGCATATAGTTTGTATTAATAAATAACTGTGGTAGACCTTGTGGCCTATGGATACACATACATGGCAGTTTTAATTACTTTAACCAAAATTATGTTATGAATATTGTTATTGGCTCGCAGGTATCACACAAACATTACACTTATCTCACTGCCAAGTGAGGAGAGAAAACAATTATTTAATGTAAATCCTCACACAAAAACTATACTACAGTTACCTATACTCATAAATCAGGGGCTACTTTGTGCAGGCTATCATCATTACACTTGTAGGCATTCGGTGCTAAATAATATCTTATCAATATTTATACTAAATCATGTAGTTTGTAGCTATGACCTGTGATCACGTTACACATAGACTTACCATAGACAACACACTGACATTGATACTTACAAGGATTAATTGAAATATTGCATGCTTTCACACATAGTGCCATGACCTATACTGTTGCATTATCAGAAAACATGCATTAACAATTTTTTTAGTGACACATCATTAAAGCTACGTGTGAATTAGCACTTTTTAAAAGTTTCTTTCACAATACAATCAAAATGTCATACAAGCACGCACATACATGTAAGTATGTACAACTTCCTCATTGTAAACGAATGACCTTCAAGTGCAGGTAATCTAGTGCTAATTATTTGCTCTCTTTGTTCATTCGGCTACCATGATTTAAAGCATTGCCTTATACAGCTTGGTATGCTTTGTAGAATGATTTGACATGGTTCGTAATGCAATGATGATGTTCTTAGATATACAAGCTTGATGATGTACATGCAGCACTCCCATAAAAGTGTCTATCCTAATGCCAAGTGAGTAGGAAGTGGTCAAAGTCATAACACTATATGCCATATAATCACTGGTGCATGATGTTTTAACTGGGGACTGAAGTTTCAATCAGGGGCAGGTCTAGGCCTGTAATTCAAATTACAATCCATATTTTTATACTAAGCTACTCGATCAGGTAATTTCTTTCTCGTAGTTGTAGTTAGTGGTCATTGAAGAACACGCATAAATTCATCACATGCAACTAAACAAGCTGTTCAAAATTGCTGTTGCAGCTGACTGCACACTGGTCTGTACTGTATAACAATTATGTATGGCGCTGGCTAATAAAAGCAGCTGCAACTCACATTTGCTGGCTCTTTGACAAAAACCCCTTGATCTTCTAAGACTCTTAGCCTTTCTTCTTCCTATCACTTCTCTTCTCCTGCGAATGCCCTGGCAGTTAGGAAGAGCACAGAGTGACTCCCACACGTTTTTGTTGCATCCAATTATAATTTTTGGCGTGAAAGACCACGCCCTGTTAGTTCTAATTATCGCAATTAATAAATAATCGATTCCTCGTGTAAAAATGGCGACTGATGGGTTTTATTTGACTAGTGATCCTCTTGGAGCCAAATGTGACAAAAAAGAAACCACAAATATGGCAATTGGAAGGACACTGTAAGTGCTGGAGACGTTGAGATAAGTTTCGATAATGATAATTTTAAAACTAATATTGTTGAAACCACACCCTCAGCTGAGATTCTGAATAATAATAATATTGTTTGATTGTTGGATGGAAAATAATGAGCCATTTTACTCTAATGCGTCTAAACGTTGATAGTTGCTGATAATTAATTTATGGTTGATCATAATTTACTGTAAAGGGCAACTCTTTTTTTGACATTCTTTAGTGAAGGAACTGTTACTCTCTTCAACAATTTCCTCTTAGTCCACCATTGTTGATACCCATCCATTAAGTTCATGACCTTTTAATGGTGGTGCATTGAAACCAATTAATAGAAAGGAAATTGTTAAGATACCCTACTACCTTAAATCATCACACTCCTTATACAGTATAGCCTCTTTTATTGGGGACACTCTCTATAGCGTACACCTCCATTTAACGGACAGCACCTAGTGTACCAATTACATTCCTTACTGTATTAAATAATAAAATAACCTCCACATAAAGGACACCTCTGTATAACAAACTTTCTTGTCCATAAGATAGAAGGCTATACTGTACATTAAATTTGTTAACATTAAGTGCATGTACTGTACACGTGTATTTTATGCATTCACAATTTCACATGTACATGTATGTATTTATTTAATTCTTAGGCGTCCGATTGTAACTGGTTCTTCAGTGCTGGGAATTACATTTTCTGATGGCGTAATGTTAGCAGCTGATACACTAGGTAAGAGAGAGAGGGAGGGAGGGAGGGAGAGAGAGAGGGAGGGAGGGAGAGAGAGAGAGAGAGAGAGAGAGAGAGAGAGAGAGAGAGAGAGAGAGAGAGAGAGTATAACTTTTGCTATCTATAGGTGTCATACGTACATTGGCCTTTATTTTCAACAGTAGTATACTCCTTTTGTCCCTACAGTAGTAAACTATGCTATAATAGTAGTATAGTAAACTCCTATTTATCATGCTACGATTGTAAAGCTCCTTTTATCCCTCTCTCCCTTTCTCTTTTTCAGGTTCCTATGGCTCTTTAGCTAGGTACAGAGACCTCTCCAGATTATTGAAAGTCAATGATACCACAGTAGCAGCTGGTAGTGGGGACTATGCTGACTTTCAGTACATTGCAAGACTTTTTGAGTCATTAAAGTAAACACGTTATTGCCTGCAGCTGTGTGTATATAGCCAAATTTGAAATTCTTTGTGTATCAATATGTGGCTCTTTCTTTAATGATGTATATGTACATGTAGTTGCAGGGGCTTGTATTGGCATGGCAAAGTATGTCAACAAACTTTATTTATTTACTTTGAAATCTGCTGAGACTTGCTGCCCTCTCACATTATATGTTTTAATACCAGTCTGACACTTCAGTTGGCTTTAGAACTGTGACCAACATAATTTTTGTTATTTAGCAGTTATGTATACGTAGGATAGGACTAAGTGATACATGTAATTTTGTATTTGACACTTCTGGTTGTGTACTTGTTATTACATGTACTAAAGGTTTGCAATTGCTCTCATAACAACAAAATGTAGGAGAGTGAACTACACAATATGTAACATATGTTTCCCGTATTAGTATCTACTGTATTTTAGTGTTTGTTACATATTGATTGAAGATAACATAGTCAGTGTAGCCACTTTATTAAGGACACCATTGGGCCCACACTACCTGTCCTTAATACATGTACAGTGTAGCCTCTTTATTAAGGACACCATTGGGCCCACACTACCTGTCCTTAATACATGTACAGTGTAGCCTCTTTATTAAGGACACCATTGGGCCCACACTACCTGTCCTTAATACATGTACAGTGTAGCCTCTTTATTAAGGACACCATTGGGCCCACACTACCTGTCCTTAATACATGTACAGTGTAGCCTCTTTATTAAGGACACCATTGGGCCCACACTACCTGTCCTTAATACATGTACAGTGTAGCCTCTTTATTAAGGACACCATTGGGCCCACACTACCTGTCCTTAATACAGAAGTGTCCTTATTTCAGAGGTACTTTTGCTTAGATTTGTACCAACTGATTATAAAGGTGTCCTTATTGTAAAGTTGTCCTTATTATGGAGTTGTGTTCAGCTATAAATCCTATTTTGTTTTTGGAATTTCCTGTGTACACGTATTGACACCTGTACTCGTGACTCATTGACTGATTGGTGATAAATTCACAAGTCACAGCTACATGTACATACTATTGTGGTTATATTGGCATTTTTTGTTATTGTTATTGTTCCAGTTACGTCACTCTATTACACGTATATGTTATATTTGTAGTTCATATACCAGTCATTCATTTGTAACTGTTGCTTAAGGACTTTTAAATTGATTTGCCTTTTTAAAATTACTGATAAATGCCATTCAAATACTGAGAATTGATGTACAGTGTAGCCTCTTTATTAAGGACACCATTGGACCCACACTACCTGTCCTTAATACATGTACAGTGTAGCCTCTTTATTAAGGACACCATTGGGCCCACACTACCTGTCCTTAATATAGAGGTGTCCTCATTTCAGAGGATATTGGTTACACTATATGTGGGCTGTGGCCATGTTTTAGTGTTTATTATAGTACTAGAATATATTAGTGTGGCCTTGTCTCTTCTATGTGTCATCCCTATGTCTCTTCATGTACTATATACACTCTTATTACTCTCCCTCTCTTAAGTCTGCATGGTTTAGTGGAGCTCATTAATTCCTACTACAGTTGTTGTATCCTAATTGAGTTTCAAGAATACATAGAACAACCACAAATAATTAAGATTACTTGATAACTTTCTCTCTCTCTCTCACTCTCTCTCTCTCTCTCTCTCTCTCTCACTCTCTCTCTCTCTCTCTCTCTCTCTCTCTCTCTCTCTCTCCCTCCCTCCCTCCCTCCCTCTCTCTCTCTCCCTCTCTCTCCCTCTCTCTCTCTCTCTCCCCCTCCCTCTCTCTCTCTCTCCCCCTTCCTCTCTCTCTCAGTATTGAGTCTGATTCCTATTGTGATGGTCACAGTTACACTCCTCGGTCCTTCTATTCCTGGTTAACTCGTGTTATGTATAATCGCAGGACCAAAATCAATCCGCTCTGGAACACTGTCATCATGGGCGGTTACCACGACAACAAGCCGTACGTCACCCAAAAACATGCATGTTTATTTATTACACTTTAAAACACATGTACATGTATGTGTAATAATATTTATTAGGTTTTTGGGTGTGGTGAATTCTTTGGGCGTCTCCTTTGAAGCCCCTACTTTAGCAACAGGATTTGGAGGCTACATAGCACAAGTAATGATTGGTATATACACGTACATGCACAATTTATGCTTATAAAATTATGTCATATTATGGTACACAATTACCCATAGATCTGGCATGTACATATATATACTTTATCCAGTCTATGTGTTGTGTATGTAATGTAATTGTGTGTGTGTGTGTGTATGATGTGTCCATTTACTCTGATTTCAGCTGTTTACTATCCACTGATTTTATAGTCTGTCTCTTTTTGCCTTCTTTAATTACACCACAAAACTCTACCTCCCTCCCACTGTCTGATGATGTACTACATGAACTCACTTCTCTTCCTCCCTCTCCCTCTCTCTCCTTCTTGTTATTGCTATTATTAGCCACTAATGAGAGATGCCTATGAGAAGAATCCCTCAATGTCAAAAGAGGAGGCACAAAAATTATTAGAGAAATGTATGACTGTCCTGTATTACAGAGATGCAAGATCATGGAACAAAGTATAGCTATACATGTACTATTGCAATCTTTTCATCTCTCTCTCTCTCTCTCCCCCCCTCTCCTTTCATCTTGATCTGTTAGTATGAGATAGCTACCATTACAACTGATGGGGTCACCATTACTGGCCCTATGAAGTTAGAGGGTAATTGGGAAGTTGCCAATTATGTGAGGTTAGTATTAATTTCAACAATGATTGATGGCATACATCTTGCCCTTTGTCTTTCCTTCCTCTCTCTCTCTCTCTCTCTCTCTCTCTCTCTCTCTCTCTCTCTCTCTCTCTCTCTCTCTCTCTCTCTCTCTCTCTCTCTCTCTCTCTCTCCCCCCCTCTCCCTTCCTTTCTATAGAGGCTATGATTAATAATAACAATCACTAGTGGGCATGCACAGTAACCATTTGACCTCTAAGGAAATGGGATCTAAGTCTCTAATTGATCAATTACTCTATTGATATTGACTTATTTGTTTATTATTTTTAAAAGAACATTAGAACTATACTTGTTACTAATAATACATGCACACCAAATGAGTCAGTACAAACGTAAGTAGAGTGGAGGCCAGTATGCTTCAATGTACCTTGATTTGTGTCCATTGAAGTCATTGCTTTGATGTGGGCTGGTATGTACATGTTTTAGTACAAAGGTGTAACACTATAGCTGTTAGATCTAATGAGACTGCTTGTCTTGATTACATTATTGCCATGGTAATTGGAATATTTCATGATTAGCCTTCTAAGTGTCACAAATTTGATAAGAGACAAGATATTAAATAGCTTTGGAAACCATTTCTATGTGTGATGCATTGAAATGATGGTGCGTTGTTTACAAGTATATGCATGTATGTGCATATAATGTGGTTGATTAAACGTGTTGTATTTAATTGCTTTGTTGTGTCATTGTTTTAGAAGAGACATCCTACTTGTATATGTGATATGTCCTTTGATTGCTTTGTTGTTGTAATCGAATGCAATGAAACAGATGCCAACTACATCTGATGTGTGTATGTTCACACTAGAAGCACCTCCTCCTACACTGTATCCTAGATGCTTCTTAATTTTGTCCACCTCTAAAATTAATTTTTTTAATTAAGAATAAAAAGGAACACATTTAGCTATACAAGTAAAACCAGCATATTATTATTTTAAAAAAATAATAAAAAGTTTGCACACAGCAATCAGCATTTAAAAACTACACCAAGCTAGTTATATCAGCGAGAGCTTTAGCAAGTTGTTTATTTCTGGCCAGTGTACTTAAGGACAAAGAGACCCCTCTCGATGCTGCTGGCGATGATCGTGCCACTTGTGAAGTAGGGATAGTTTGACCAGGAGCCTGAGAAACCAGGGGCACTGCAGTCTGGGGCTACATCAAAGTATCCAACTTCCGTGAGCTCTCCTCCTTCAATGTTTGAGACATCAAGTATGCGGAGACCAGCACAGTAGTTTGATTGGTAGGCAAGGTTGCCCCTAAAGAGGGAGAGGGGGGGGAGGGAGGGAGGGAGGGAGGAGGGGAGGGAGGGAGAGAGAGAGAGATGATGTTAGTATTAAAAATATTTTTAAAAAGGAGTAGTTTTGTGTTGTGGGAAAGAAAAAGTGGGGGGGGGGAGGGAGGGAGAAGTAGGCAACATCAGAAATGTGTAACAATCAGGGCTATGGTGGCCCAGAATGCATATCTTTACCCATTTATGTCAGTCAAAACCCAGTCATGTGTGAAATGTGATATACTTATATGTCACTAGTAAAGCCTAATGGAGCACATTCTGATTATAATGACTGTTGATGGAGTGTGGTTAGTGATCTCTTATTAGGTCATTCATTTGTATAAATGTGTGTGGCATAAGAGCTGCCAACAATAGTGTAGCTGACATCAGACTTAGTAGCCCAGACAGTACTAGTCTAGCCTATGGTCATTCATTACAACTTATTACAATTCTAATAGATTATACTATAATTCAGTATTGTGTGATATTAGGTTCCTCTATCTATTGGAGTTCTTCTCTCTCTTTTCCTTTTGCTTTATTTACTCTACATTGTGACATCATGCATTTTATTCTTTAATTTGTTTGTCCTGGTGGCATTTGACAGTAAACAGTATAGCAGTTAATTACCACTTTCTAATGCAATAACAATATTCAACAGTGTCCAAGGTATACAGTCCTACATGTACAAAAACTAGGGTGCCTAAATAGGTAAGACTATACTCTTTATTTCTAATGTTGGTTATACGTGTAATGTATTTCCAGTGTAGGTCATTGAAAGTGGGTATAGTTTTTAATAGTTTCAAATCTAATGGTTATGCATGGTTACACCGTACAAGTTGATTTATTGGCGATTGGCGGTTTTATGAAGAAATCGCCAATATAAAATCTGCCATTTTGTTTTAATCTGAGCATGCTCAATGGCACATCGCACAAAGTCGTCAACATAAAATTTGCCAATTAACTTTCACAGGCAAATTTGCCAAATATTACTTTCGTCAATAAAATTAATTATGGTATTGCATACATAGTCATTCCACCTGGGTAGCAACTTAAGATTAATGGGCTTATATTATGTCCTTATTTTGGGCAAAATTTTTGAGTTGATTCCAATCAAAATTTACAATTTTAAAAAAGTTACTCTAAAATTTGGCCAATAATATTTTATCTCAGATGCATTTACATGTTCTTATGTTGCATTGACATTTTGAGCTAATATAACCAAAATTAGATTTTTTATGATTTTTGAAAATTCCTCCAAAATTGGGCCAAGGCTCCTGTACTATATAGTACACAATAATTGAAAAATGACTAGGAGAGAGAATTTTTATAATTTTTTTAAAGTTCTTATGTTGCGTAGAATTTTTTTTTAATCAAAATTGGATTTTTTACGAATTTTTAATTTGCTTCAAAATCAGGCCAAAGTCCCTGTACTATAGTACAGGGTCTTTGGCCATTGGCCAAATTTTGCCAAAAAATAAATAATAAGAAATATACATTTTTATGATTTTAAAAATACATAATATAAGTCCTTATATTGCATAGAAATTCCAGCTAATTTTGACCATAACTAAAATTTTACGAATTTTTGAATTTGCTCAAAAATCAGGCCAAAGACCATGTACTTTCATACAGGGTCTCGAACCAAATTTTGTCAAAAATGACTAGGACAAAATTTTCCTTTTAATATTTCTTAATACAAACTATACATGCCCTAATATTTTTTAACAAAGACATATGGTGAGCGACATATGGTGAACGGTTGCACGGTCACTTTAACTTCACTTTTGTCAAAATTACACAAATACTGTATAGATGGAAAATTTTGCGGGAATTTAATTTTGCGCTTTGTGTTTTAAAAATAAACGCATAATTAAAAACTGTAAAATTAAAATCACGTGGGCTCGATGGGCGTATATCATTAGCATCGTGTACGTGTGTACGCGTGTGGGCGTGGTCAAGACAACGTGGCCAAATCGCATAATTTTAATTCGCAAAATTAAAAAACATTCAAAATTTATTAAAAACGCAAAATTAAATTGCCGCAAAATTTTCCGTCTATACGGTAGAACATTAATTATTATTATCATTATCATTATTATCATCATCATCATCATCATCATCATTATTATTTAGACTTTACTTGATGTAAAGATTGTGATCGGTGGCTTGTTGGCTAGAATAAAAGCTACCCTGCAGGACTGGATTTGTCAGGTCCTCAACATTCCAGATCATAGTACGTGTGTGTGGATTAGAACCATACAACTCGTCCAGTTCGTCATCCAAAAGAAGCCTTGTTTGCTTCTCATTGAGCCACCCTTGGTGAGTGTAGCGGTATCCTTCGTAAGACATCCTTCCCAGCATTTTCATATCGTTTTTGTCTTCTACATCAACGATTGTTAGCGTGTTTTCGTTGTAGCAGAAACAGATCTCCTTTCCATTGTATCGTGCGTCTACGCCTTTGTATACGACACACTGGGCATCATGGACATAGCCATCCTGTCCAAAGCATCCTGTCAAATAAAAGTAATGATGTTTTATTTATATTCATAACATTGTAGCCTTATAATGACATTTCATTTTGTGATTGAAACAAAAGTCATACTTATTATATTAATGAAGATCTAGACCTAGATTATCATAAAGTAAATCACAGACACAGTTGTAGAACCTATTAAGAGCTAACTCTATAAAAAATTGCTGGTATAATTAAAAGCAATTTATTGAAGTAGATCTTATAGCTTGATTTTGTATAATAACAAACATGTATATAGCTGTTTATTATAATGGAAATTATGGAATACTATTGTATATACATACCTGCATATACATATCTCATTAGAATTACATTTAATTTTACGGGTGCAACTAGCTGTTAATTTTGCAATTGAAATAAAATTCATAATTATTTTAATATTATCAATAATTGCATCAAAAAATTGCCTAATGTTTTTTTGAAGTAGCTTCTTATATATAAATTGGGTCTACGCTCATTTTGCATGCATATTTTAGCTGCTTATAATGGAAATCATGAAATATTTGCATAATTGTTATACATACCGGCATATTGTGGGTTTTGAGGGTCACGGATGTTAACAACATGAAGGCCACTGGTGCAGGTCCTGGAGCCAACAGAATAAAGATATCCAGTCTCTTCGTTGATGACAATGTTATGAGATGAACCAAATTCACCATAATGAGTATCTTCTTTCAGTACATTGACGCTACCGTCATCTTTTGCCTTTAGGTTCCTCAGTCCAAGCAGATCATATACTTGTAGTCCGTGATCAAAAGCTTCGCTGCCAATGAAAGCGTGATTGGCATAAACCTGAATTAATTGATATGAGGCGTTATGTGCAATAATGCAGAATTATATTACAATAAAAATATTAAAATTTATGTATAAAGTGTCATTAATTTGTTATGGAGCATCTTCATTTGCAAGACATTTCTAATTTAGTTTCATTGTTTTGGGATACAAATTAATGTTTGCAGCCATGTATACCATATGGCTAGAAAATTCCGTGGGGTATTTAATTTCGTGGATTTTGTGGGTAACTTCTTAACCATGAAAATTAATACTATGGAAATGCTCACTGCGCATGCACAGCATGTGAAAATTTATGACTTAATGCAACTGCACATGCGCAAAAACGCGAAATTTAATCCCTTCGAAATTAAAGAATTAAGAGCTTTTCACTAAAATACGAAATTATATACCCTCGAATTTTTCTAGCCATACGGTATATTTTTGAGGCATTAAATTTTTTGATTTTAGCTGAACTTTGAGAAATTAGACTCTTGCTCTTGTGATGCATGGTTGCATGCAATTTAGAGAATAATATTCTGACTATGAAAATTTGGAACTAGATGTGTCCCAGAATGAAAGTACTGAATCACTAATACCTATACTTAAATACCTTTATATCTCTCCAGCTGCTTCCTGTTGTATAAGTTGGTAGGAATCCAAGTACTTGTGGTGAAGTAGGTTCAGTGACATCCACAAATGACGTCCCATCATAGCAACCAATGATAGCGTATTCCTTCTTAGTTTCTGGATCAGTCCAGCCCCATATATCATTAGCATCACCATTGCAGCCCAAATCGTTGAGTGATATAAATGCTAAGAGGTCAACTTTATCGCACTCATATTCGCCTGCTTGGCCATTCCTATTTACAATAATTGCTTATTTTATAACCACTTAATAATAATTTTGTTGTCACTATCTCTTGGTATTTGCTTACGAGCATTCAATGTTGGATATGCTTCGTTTCTTCAGTGGGCACTCGTGCTTCCTGGCACATTTCTCAAACTCTGCAATCTTCAGTCTCATGACAAATGGCATCATAGAATTGGGATCTGTAATATAATAATTAATGCCTTTATAGTGGAGGGGCTACTGTAAATTTTGATATTTGTGCATTGCTGAAGCCTAATAGTTATACTAATTTAAAATTATTGTGTTTTGGGAATATGAAAATTTCAGCATCCAACTCCATTTTCTATATAAACTATTAGTGGATTACAGCATCTGAGACAGTTCTTTTACACTATTTAATAAGCTAAAAGCTGAGCTCCTCAAAATTAGATTATACCAATGCCAATTCAGCTGATGATTATAATCATCACAGTTGACATTGCAGTAATACAATAGTGCAAGCAAGAGTAGTAAAACAAGGGTAGCTTATACAAGGTTATACTGTAGGTAACATTGTTGTTCCTTGTCTCTCGCACATAAACCACCTCTGAGGCTAATAGATGCATCATTGTTAGCGGACGTGTTTGCTTGTTTGAGTACAAAGTAGCTATCAGGAAATCATGACTTTCTATCACCTATTAGTGACAAATGCCAGCTGATTCTTCTCTCCCTGGCTATCATTTCAATCTATTTTTGCGTTATCCACTCTTTCTAAAGCAACGCCTCTACTTTCTTACCTGCTTTCTGGCAATCCTTTGTGCAGTTGAGCAGTTTCAGCCCATCTCCAGCCACCTATTGAATAAATTGGAAAAAGATTTGAGACGCATCTAAAACTAATGTTAATTTTTGTTTCTTACGTAAGTAGCTAAGGCTAGGAATGCTACAAAAGTAAGAGTCTTCATTTTCTCTCTTTTTTAAGCTCTAGAATAAGTTGCAAGGTGACTGCGCTTAGCTGATTTGCAAAGGTCAAGGGCGTGGCTCGTATTATCTCGTGACTTATGCCGCAATTGTTCTAATTATTAAAACGTGAATAAATCTTTTAAAAATTAATTACTGCAGTAAAAAGCACAGATAAATGACAAAATTAATTTAAATCACATGACAGGACGTTTGTTATTATCATTATATTAACTATTATTTACTATTAATGATTAGTTATTATAAACAAGAATAACGACATCAAGATAGGTGAGATCTATATAATAATTAGCTTTTAAAACTTAATCATCGTCGCCACGCTTCAAGTTATCAAGACGAGCCTGAAGATCGTCAGTTTCAGCACCAGCTACAACTTTTTGTTTCGTCTGAGAAAGAGAAAAGGGGAAGGAGAGAGGAAAAACAAAAAGGAAAGTCAATCATAAGTATTTATATGAACACAGATGCACCAATCACAATTTAAAAATAATGTTTAAAAGCAGTGTCCTATAAATACAGTACTAGCTCCAAATTTTCGTCAGTCAAAAATTTTGTCAAATTTTAATCTCTTGTTAAAGTTAATTTTTGTCATTTTTGTCATTAATCTGTATACTACCTACGTGGAATAAAAATTTCGTCAAGGAAAAGTACCTAACGAATTTTGACGAAAATTTTGACCAATGAAATTTTGGAGCTATATAGTAGGAGACTCTGTTCTAATATTAAATTCTTACAGTGTCTGTACTGATGTGAGGTCGCTCCAGTCCTGGAGTTATTCCGGATAGTTCCTGATCTAACGAGATTCCCAGTTCATCTAAGACTTGAGAAACTATAACTTCAGTTTCCTATAGAGTAAAAGACATTACATGTATGTAAGTACATGCACATAATGCAGTACAATTATAAAGATAATGTAATTATTACAGGGTATTTTGTCGCAGATTTTTCCATTTTATAACTTTTCTGATACAGGCATGCATACATGTACATGTACTTCCTACCAAAATTGAAATTTTTAATGAATTTTTAAAGTTACTCAAATTAGGCCAAAGACCCTGTACTATAGTACAGGGACTATAGTACAGGGTCATAGGCCAAATTTCATTAAAATTGAAAAGGAGAAAATTTTCCATTTTTATACTTTTATCTGATGCATATACATGTTCTTATGTTGTGTAGAAAGTTTGAACTGATTCCGATCAAAATTGAATTTTTTATGAATTTTTAAAATCGCTCAAAAATCAGGCCAAAGTCCCTGTACTATAGTACAGGGTCTTTGGCCAAATTTCACTAAAATTGAAATGGAGAAAATTCTCCATTTTTATAACTTTTTCTGACACACACACATGTTCTTATGTTGCATAGAAAGTTTGAAGTGATTCCGATCAAAATTGAATTTTTTACGAATTTTTTAAATTGCTCAAAAATCAGGCCAAAGTCCCTGTACTATAGTACAGGGTCTTTGGCTCAATTTCGCCAAAAATGAAAAGGTGAGAATTCTCCATTTTTATAACTTTTTCTGATACACACACATGTTCTTATGTTGCATAGAAAGTTTGAAGTGATTCCGATCAAAATTGAATTTTTTACGAATTTTTAAAATTGCTCAAAAATCAGGCCAAAGTCCCTGTACTATAGTACAGGGTCTTTGGCTCAATTTCGCCAAAAATGAAAAGGTGAGAATTCTCTATTTTTATAATTCTTTCTAATATATATATATGTACTTATGTTGTGTATCAACTTTCAGCTTATCCCAATGAAAATTAATTTTTTTACGAATTTTCAAAGTTGCTCAAAAAGTTAAAATCATTTGCCATTTTCTACAGTAACATTAAACCATACTTCTTCTTCGTCTCCCTCTCCCAGTACGTCATCCATAGTGTCCGTCATTGTCTCCTCTTTGATGTCCATTATCTCCGACTCTCTCTCGAACTCCATCATGATCTTCTGAAGATTGGGAAGATTGATTTTTGAGTTCATTCTCTTCAACGCTTTAGTGACACCTAACGATACAAAAAGACATCAAACAGCCCGAGATAAATTCACAATACGAAAAGCAAACTTAGAAAAAATTTCCTAAGTCACACCCACCCACCTTTCATGGCTGTTGCCATGGAAGCCTGAGATTTAAGGGTCTGTATCTTAAGAGAAATCCCTTGTATGTTGGCCTTCATTAAGATAAACTTCTTGATAAAGGCTCGAGTCCTGACGAGGTCCTTTGCCATTATTTTGACGGCGTCCATTTGTCCACTCTTGGCCATCTTCTTTATGTCGGTGATAAGTTTCTTTTCTTGTCTCTCCAGGGCGGTTCTCTCTTTCTCTAGCTCACGTATCACCTGCCATAAAGGGAAAAGAAATAATACAAAAATAAAATGATTTAAAATTATACTTTTTATGCTATTGACATTAGCGTTTCTATTTATATCCATGCTGTGTACTTTTTATAGCATTTCTTTAAAGCAGATACATGTATATACTAATGATTCGTTGATTATACATATACCGTATTTCCTCGTGGAAACGCCTACTCCCTATAAACGCCCATGCCTGTATAAACGCCTAGAGACAGCACATAACTTTGACAATAAACGCCCATGCTTGTTTAGACGCCCATTCTTGATTAAAAGCCTATACCACACCCACCTACCCCATCCACGTGGTACATGTACCTTACGTAGTTTAGTAGTTTACATTCTACAATGGCAGCTGCAGCTGAGAAGGCTAAAGAAACTCAGAAGTTTTGATGTCAGTTTTAAACTACGTGTTGTGTCTATTGAAACATGGTGGTAAGGATTATTTTTTTGGTTATAAACGCCCACCTCGTATAAACGCCTACTTCATTTAAACGCCTAGCAAACAGGTCTCTATAAGAAATAAACGCCTAGGCGTTTCCACGAGGAAATACGGTAGTAGGTTCAGCCTTATACAACAAATTTTTGCAAATTTCAAATTTTAAAACTAAGTACAGGTATCGAGTCTTAACTTCAATACCATGTATTGTAGATACAACACTCAATACTAAGGACACTATTATATACTATACTGTATTATCAATTATGTATACATGTATTATACACAATACATAGTCCTCACTTTCTGGAGTGCCCGCTGGTTTTGTCTCAGCATCTCCTCCGGAGTTTTCCGTTTACCGAACAAAAAAGACATCTCTTGAGGCTTGCAGTCCAACTAGTCTTTAAAAATGAAGTATCTGTATGATGTGCTGCTCTAGATTGTATGTATTGATTTGATATAAGTATTAAGAGAAATGGCGTGTACAAATTATAACATGACTTTCATGTGACAGTGACACATCAAAACATCCGCCAT